CATATTATCATTGTATCGTCAAGAGTCAAGAGAATTTAACTGGTTTAAAAATGGGACTAGTTGAGAAAATTTTGACCATTTGATTAACCAGTTAGGAATATTGAATAAGTAGGAATATTTTCATTGTAAAATGTCCCATTTTTGTTGCCGGGAGCGCTAGTTGATTCCTATTGTGATGGAATTCGGAATCCCCATTGCAGGATTCCGAATTCCGGCCCACACCCAGCACACCCGGCCCAGAAAGTCTATTATACCAGCCCATTCCAGACTCCAGTGATGGCCCGTTAAAGACACCGGCCACATCATCGTAGTTCCATGGCCGGTCCAATACCCCCCCCCCCCCCACCATATAATGTTCAGCAGAAAAAGGTTTTTAGACGAATTGGACAAAATTATTTGCTATCAGTTGGCCATTGATCACAATATGTCCCGCATAAGACTAGTTGGGCATTGTAGGTGGGTCATGGGGTCAGGCATTTAGTAATTGAAGCATAATCAAATAACACACTATTTATGGATAACAAATTCTATAGTTTAATTCACTGCGACGTTTCAACAAGATTTCACAAGTCCTTACCAAGCATATAACATTAATAAACAAGCCAACAGTGAGGCTGATGACCCCGTCGAAATCCCTAAATAAATAGATGACCCATATTAATTAATCGCACATTTATTTTTTTCAAAGGTATCGAGCAATCAAACTGATTATCAACTATACACTAAGTTTCATCACTCTCTATCAGATAGAATCAAAGTTATCTTGTCCCAAAGCATCGATCATTGAAATTGCTTAGCTCTGCTTAGCTTTAGCCCGAAATGTTAATTACTGAACTGAGTCAAGACATTCAGCTAATGAACATTTACATCAAGTTTCAGCATTCTACCTTAATTAAAAGCAGAGTTATTGCGTTCCAAAGTCCTGACCAATCAAATTGCTTATCGCTCTTTAGCCTAAGCAGAAAATTTTCACGATCGAACTTAGTCAAGCTAATATCGCCCTCACTTCATTATAACCAAAGTTATCATGCCCCAAAGCATCAACCAATCAGATAGCTTATCTCTGCTTACCCTAAACAGACAATGTTCATCATCGAACTCCATCAAGGCATTCATTTAATGAACGCCTACACCCAGTTTGAACATTCTACCTCAATTAGAATGAGAGTTATTGTGTTCTAAAGTCTCGGCCAATCAAATTGCTTATCGTTCTGCTTACCCTGAGCAGAAAACTCTCATTATCGAAGTTAGTCAAGGTATTGATGTAATGAAACTATACACCAAGTTTCATCACTCTCACTTAATTAGAACTAAAGTACTATCGTGTCCCAAAGCATCAACCAATCAAATTGCTTATCTCTGCTTACCCTAAGCAAAAAATTCTCATCTCCGTACTCCATCAAGGCATTGACCTAATAAACACCTACACCAAGTTTGAACATTCTTGCTCAATTAGAAAGAGACTTATTGTGTCCCAAAAAGTGTGACGGACGGACAGACGAACCCATTTTAATAGTCATCTGCTTTCTTCGAAAGGCGGGGGACAATAAAATGAAAAGAATATGGCTATATATATACAAGAGCGGTGCTGACCCCCCAAAGGCATTGTAGTGTCCCAAGCCGTTAGATAATCAAATGCACATATACAGGTATAAACTGTAATTGGTATAGATAAGCACAAGAACAAAAGATCAAACAATTATTCAAGCGGTATAATGAACCACGAGCAATAGGCCATAACAGTAAAAACATGATAACGACATGTAAAATCTTGTTGAAACGTCACAGTGAAATAAACTATAGTAATTGTTATCCACAAATAGTGTGTTATTTGCTTAAAAAGACATATTACAAGCTACATTAAACAGAAAATCGATCATTTTACGGAAATTCTGGCCGCCATTATGAATATTCACCATCTTGGATTTTTTTAAACACTCTGTGTCTTGGTTAATTTTAAGGTCAGTAATCCCTTTCAATTGGATATTACATGTAATATCAAACTGTGAAATTGGCCATTTGAGCAACTTTTGGCCGCCATTTTGAATTTATGCCATCTTGGATTTTGGACACTCATATTAGAGATTATTTTTTTATGATCAATGTTTCTGATATCTAGTAAATCACTTTAGTTGACCAAATAGATAATTTGGCTTATATGGGTCTGAACAAGATTTTTTTTAGTAAACTTATGAACAGACATCATGAAAAAAAACCCGAAAATATTGCTGTTTTCAGATTAGTCTTTTATTTTGAAACCGAAAGCATTTCTTAAACAACATGAGTCATATACCAGCAGATTTAGAATTGTATTATGAACATTTTGAGCCATTTTACATATCCATAGGTGAACCTGGTGAGGAGTTGTGGAGGTTTCCCTGACTTGCACTATTTCAAATAAAAAAATGGCGGCCATTTTTAAAGATGGCCGCCAAACTCACATTTGGCAAAGTGACCCGGATGTCCATCAACCAATTTTGGACACTTTAGACCTAAGGCTAACTGAAAATCATGGTTAAATTTATTCGTCAAATTGGTAATGAAAATCTGTCTGTCACATTGACTATTATAAGAATTGACCATGTGTTCCCATCTGGCATCCCATTTGTCATCACATAATATTTTAATCATTTTCCATTCACTGAACAACAAACTATCTGTAGGCTACAATCATACGAAAAATGTATCAATCCGAAGCGCGCACTGCTGTTATCTATACACACCAGTTTAATTTTTATTCGTTTAAACTACTTTGTGACTAAAATGGCACTTGGTTCATTTTGGCGGGAAAAAAGGTCATATGGGCAAATAACAACAACATGGCGACATTGCATACGGGTGTCAATGCTACGATGTAATTTTAAAATACTGTTTTATAACGAAGACAAACAATGTTTCGACATCATAAACTTTTCTTATCACAGATATTTTTCTTTCATTTTCTGCCGTGTAAATAAAGGCACATAATTTTGGAAGAATATTACTGGCGTGAATTTGAAGCAGGTACCCTACGGGTCAGTACGCTTTCATTCTATCATATTATGAAAACACCTGATTTTGTAGGAATATTACGGACGTAAATTTGAATACTGTATGGGAATTAAATATGAAAACTAACGAGGTTCACCTATTTTTTTGTATTCAGAACACATATGCTACATAACATAAAACTATTTGTAGTTGTAGTCCGGTCCGCACAATATCAGTTGAAATTTAGAGATCGTTCAAGACAATACCATAAAAATGTACTTATTTGCTATTCAATCAAGAGGATCTGCTAATCAATTTGCAGATTGATTAGCATTTGTTTTTAAACATCCGGTATGATGCTTGTAACCCTTTGTTGGAACTTGTGAATGCTTGAACGACAAAAGTTATTATCTGATCGATCTGTATGAAATTTATATGCATCATTTAAATGAGTGAAATGAAGAATCGTATTGAATTTCAACAATTTCTGTTATGGCCTTTATTTCACTTTGTTATCACCCGATTTGTCTGAAATTTATATGCATCATTTAAATTGGTGAAACGAAAAAGCCTTTCAAATTTCAATAATTTCTGTAAATTACTTCCAGAGTTAAGGCCCTTGTTTCAGTTTGTAGAACCTCGTGAACCCTCAAACTACGAAAATTATAATCTGATCTAATATGAAATTGTCTTGTAAATGCCCCCAATTACCTACAAAAGAATTAATATGGGACATCACTTGTCGACCGCTAGGACGATTTAGCTGCTGTGGGTGTATGTTTCCTTGCCTGGCAACCTGTCTTTTTCTTTCATATTCTATGTGAAGCATTTGGACAATGAGAGGATGAGCCGAATCGATTTTCCGTGTTCTCCATCCATCTCTTGCATGTAGCTGTTAAGACCACAATATTAGTGTTGATTATAACCATTTTATTCCTTCTGACATTACATCAAAAACCCTGCCATCAACCGCCCATTCACTCGCACCATCCGTTCACCCACTTCCAGTGTACCGCATATGGTCACCCGAATAACTTACATTACATCATAGACATAACTGACATGAATGATTCACATTATATAAACACAGATAAATATTACCAGTGGCTGTATCTTGCATGGCAACGGCTATTTCTAGTAAGATTGAGTGTCTCTCCACTTTACATATATACCAAATTTGCAATGCTTTTATTGGAAATAACTATTTAAAAAATACTTTTGTGGGAATGTATCTTGAATAATATTAATAGTCAACAATCCAAGTCCAGCTGTGACTTACTCGGCGGAAACCATGCACGCTCCAGAGGCCTCTCCACACAAGATTGACACACCAAATGCTGTAACACCCAGTACCAGCCAGGGCTACCAAACAGCTCTGGGCGCCCCATTCCCACATTTCCAAAAATGGGATCTTACCACCTCCCCTAGTCAGTTGGTAGCGGAAGTGTGGGATATGATGCACTCCAGTAGGAGCAATATATGGAATAATCGAGACAGATTTGTTGATCGCATCTTCCGTATAACCATCTGAACTGTAATCAGATTTGTGAACTGTCAAGACTAAATACTATTCGGATGAACAATAGAGTTAACAATAATCACCTACTTATTTCTGGAATTAGACTTTCCACTCACAGTGTATATACATGTAACTATTTTCTCATTGCGCTTTGAGCATGCCTTTGGATGGATTTAGCGCCCTACAAATGTACATTATTTATTTTATTTTTTTATATTGTTCAATATTCATGTATGAGCATGCTCAAGTACCTGTTAAAGGAAGTTTCACATGAATACATATGAATAGCTCACATGGATTATATTGCTCAGCACATGACTGTCTGGAAGTAGTCATGAAATCTATAGGGAAATTATAATTACCTTTTTCACACATTGACATAAACCCCAAGATCCAACATAGGGTAACTGACATGGCTGAAAACTCCAGCATGAGTATTGGTTTCATTGCTGCTGCATTGGTATTTAAGTTTTAACATTTTTAGAAAAAATATATAAATAATCTATTTCAGTTCCTTGACGTCTAAATTATTAGCATTACCAGAAGCTCTGGTTGCTAGACGATTAACAGAATTATTATTATCAAGATTTGTTTTGCTGGATGATCAAGCTAATAAATTTCTTATTTCTAATCTTTTAACGCCATCAAAAAGTAAGTAAACTCCAAAAATGAATTATGACAACATTCTACATACCGCATGTTCCTTAGATACATGTATATTTAAACACATTTCAATCAGTTTTCCTACACATTTATATCTTCTTTTTAAATTTGTACAGTTCTTAATAGACAACTAGCTGATCCTCGGCCTATTATGCCTAGAACATGACAAGCATACACGCCATACAGTGAACTATGAGGGAAATTTTTCCCGGACAGCGGCACTACTATTATTTCGAACTATCAAGGTTTTTTTATATGTACACAGGACTTTGTTTTTTGATTCCTGTTTAAAACAGGATTTTTGGCGCTAGAAAGTATTAATATAGCTTACTTTCAAAACATTGTTCAATAATTGATAAAAATCAATTGAGAATTACAAAAATGGTTTAGTTAGTACTATGGATTAGTTTAATGGTAACCGGTTCAGTTTTTATGAGAGGCGTTTATAAATGGATGACCCATTCACTTATCTACCGCGTTTACTTATTAGACGAGCCTTTTAATTTCCTGAGATATGTGTATAAATCAACACAAGGTTAATTTATCTACAGTGTTTAAATATTAGATTAACCTTTTAATTTCTCCTTTACATATGAAGTACAAATAAAAAAGGTGAATATAAAAAAAAATGCACACCCATAGATGCTCACCTTACTGTGTTCGTAGTATTGTCATCCATTATCCATTAAAAATAGTAATTCCAACATTGACAAATACTTAGGCAGTTTACTCTCATTAAAACACATAAACCAATCAAATATCTCTAACCATCCTCTTGTTTAAGTGATATTTACCAGTCTTGACTGGTGACAATATCATTACTTCCAGTTTTTTCAATGTAGTGCCTCCAAGTTTTAAAATGTTTTAGTAAATAGGTCATATTTGTTTATTTTGTGTGTGGAAATAAACTGTCTGTGGTGTTTCTACCTTTTCCTATTGACAACTAGCCCTAGCCCCTGGTTCTATCAATAACATATCTTTAGTGTGATGTCTAGAATGTTTTTAAAAATTGAATCTAGTAGCTATCATTGTTATATATCTACTGCTAGAATATAAAAATTGAAATAATGCTAGAAATAACTGTGTTTTCAGAATGTATTGCATCAGTGGTAGACAATATACATGAAAAAGTTACTGATTGGTAAAATTGTGTCTTAAATAATAGAATGACTTTAAGTTGTTCATTTCTTGTTATTTTATTTTATTGCAGATAATGAAAGATCGACATCAGTAAAAGCAGGAAAAGTTACTCCCATATTTACTCGTAAAATATTTCAACAGCACGTCATTCCATTATTAACAAAAATATTCTACATTCGTGAAAAACATATCCGTTTGGTTTTACTCCGGAATTTCTCTTTCTATGTCGATATATTTGAACCTGACGTTATTCACGATAAGATATTTCCTCATGTAAGTTAGTCATATTTCAATTCGTATATGTTTCAAATTGTGAATAGTTGTTACTTAGCACCGTAAGATTTAGCATATACATATATGAATCTGGTGTGATCAAATATTTCTAAATGTAATTTATTAATTGTTAGAGTTATCTCCCATGTTTTCTTGGGCTCGGATCTGCAGAGGAATTGAAATTACATCAGACTATACGGCAGTGTCATGCTCCCCCATCCGCCTTACCCAATATCTTTGTTAATACTGAACAGAATTGAACCATTTTTGGACTGATATTCTTTTCAGAGATTAAGGCTTCACAATATTGTAGTTTGCAAGGCATTAAAAATCCCTCAAATGATGTTCAGAGACGTTAATATGGGTTGATCCTGAATAACTCGCATTTTTATACGCCCACATGTGAACGTATATTGTCGTCGCCTCTATCCATCCGTCCACAATTGTTTGTGGACACTCTACAGGTCACAATTTTTATCCAATTTCAACGAAACTTGAAATATTGGTTTATCTCCTAAAGACCTTGGTTCTTTTCGATATTGGCATGTATCGGACCGTAACTTCATTGATTATGGCCCCTGATTTTTATCTGATTTTGTTGAAATTTGAAATGTAAGTTTATAACTCAAAGATCTTGGTTCCTGTCGATATTAGTGCATAACGACTGTAACTTCCTGAATTATGGCCTCTGATTGTACGAAAAATGACATTTTTTAGCTTGTGGACCCTATGGAAGTCAAAATTTTATCTCTATTTAAAAAACGTTTGAATATATCACCGTTACACCTTAATGACGGTTTGAAATTGGACCAAAGCTGTCAAACAAAATGGCCGTACCTCGAACACAAACAGTGTAAAAATATGGTATATCAAGGTTGTGGACCCTCTAGAGCTCACAATTTTGATCCGATTTTGATGAAACTTGAAATACATGTTTATAACCCAACGATCTTGATTCCTTATGATATTTGCGCATATTAAATCGTAAACAATCATAATGTTTATAACCCAACGATCTTGATTCCTTATGATATTTGCGCATATTAAATCATAATTTTCTGAATTACGGCCCTTGACTGTACCAAAAATAGCTTTTTTAGCTTGTGGTCCCTCTAGAGGTCACAATTATTATCCGATTTAAAAAAAACTGTGTAAATATATCACCGTTACACCGTAATGATGGTTGAGTTCGAATTTCGTGAAAATCGGACCAAAACTGACGGACAAAATGACCGCCCCTCGTATAACGCAAATGGTGTAAATATGTGGTATATCAAGGTTGTAGACGCTCTAGAGACCACAATTTTTTTCCAATTTTGATGCAACCTTAAATTTATGCTTATATCACAAAGGTCTTGGTTCCTTTCGATATTCACACATATCAATCGTAACTTCCTGAATTATGGCCCTTAATCGTATGAAAAATTGCATTAGGGTATCACCGCTACACCCTAATGATGGTTGAGTTCAACTTTCGCGAAAATCAGACCAAAACTGCCAGACAAAATGGCCGCCCGTCTACGCAAATAGTGTAAACATCTGGTATATCAAGGTTGTGGACCCTCTAGAGGTCACAATTTTGATTCGATTTTAATGAAACTTGAAATGCATGTTTATAACCCAAAGATCTTGGTTCCTGTCGATATTCGCACATATCTGATCGTACCTTCCTGAATTATGGCCCTTAATGTTACGAAAAATCGCTTTTTGTTTAGCTTGTTCTCTATCCATCTCTTGAAAAATGTGGGCGTATCCTGCCTGGCAGTCGCTGGTACTTGAATGTGTTGCTATAGAAAGGGGCTGCCATGCTGTATGATTAAGAAATGTTTTATAATTCCTGGTTTATGTCTATTAAAATGTAATTTGTTTTAGTTGTTACTAGGGTTACGTGATAGTGATGATATGATTGTGGCTGCTAGTTTACGAGCGTTAGCCGATGTTGTACCGATACTGGGAGGAGATAAAGTGATTGGTGGAAGTAGAAAACAATTTTTATCTCAGGGACTTCCTAATGTAAGTCTTTCTCTGATTGGCTATCTGTCAACTATATCTAAAGATTTATATCCATTTCCAAGTAATGCATTTCACGATCATCATATATTATCAGTTAAAATTTGCATTTATATTTCAGTTAAAATTTGCATTTATATTTCAGTTACAATCCAACATTCTAAGATCATTATTTTCCCACCCTATCAGCGTTTCACTGTTGATATCACCTGTTTGCTATTATGTAATATCTACAGTGATATCACCTGGAACATACATATACCTGAAGCACAGGTTGTGAGCATTATCAGCTCATTAACCTGAGCTACGCATAATATTGTAACATGATATCTTCCCTTTCGTACGGTCCCTACTTCGACTGTTATGTAGGCTAAACATAGAAATAAACTTTCTCTGGGTATCTGACTCATCTACTCTTCATACATCACCGCTAGATTGTATCTCTTGTATTGTAATCCTGTTTGGATTGAATTAATTGTTCCCTTTTGCGAAAATTTAATCGATACCTACCTGAATGATGTATAACAGGAGTAAGAAGTAAACACCAATTAAGTATTGTTTATTTTGATTATTCTGTCAGCAAACCAATTACACCAATGAAAACAGTCACATAGTAGCTATCAAGTATAATTAACAGCTCATTAACCATTAATTTGTGAATATTCTCGGACATGTTGCTTCAACTTGTGGTCACTAAGATTTCCATTTGTTTTCTTCTATTTGTATAAAATGGCAAGACCACTTTGATTTCTGATAAAAATATACAATTGTCGATTTCATTGTAATTCATTTGTAGATTTGATTTTAGTCAAACAAAGTGTTGTAACTCCTTTAAGAATGTTGGGTGATAATCATCTGTTTTTTTTGATAACAGATATTTCAACTCATCAACAATGTAAAATTCCTTTCAAGAACACATGATTTTACTTTTTTGATATCAATAATTTTACCTAACCAACTTGTGTTGAAATCAAGAAATTTTACCTAATCGACTTATGTTGAAATCAAGGAATTTTACCTAATAGAACTGTTTTGATATCATTGAATTTACTTGATGAGATTCTGTTGAGATTCTCTATTGACTTAAATTTTAAATATCAAATAATATTCTCATAACAGAACGGTGTTATATTTGTAGTTTAATAATAAGACATATGTTGAAGAATTAAAGATTAAAACCAAGAATGTAGAGGATGTTATTGGGAAAAAAATATTACTGAAAGATTTAGCAGGAATGGGGTAAGTTTATCTTATAAAATATTTAATGGCAACATTCCAAAACAAAGAATACCCAAGTAGCTCATGATATCAACTAAAACAAAATTTTAATCAACTAGCCCAGGGCTAGTAGTCTACTGTCAGACACTAGCCCGGCATTAATTTCCACTAGTCCGTAGTTGGACAAGGTATAAGCTTTAATATTAGTCTGCATGTAAAATAAAACTTGATAATTGAATAATTGAAGAAGAGTTGGTGGGAATGCTGAAGTCTTTACAAAATCCTCCTCTCTTACACACAGTCATAGTACATGAACATCAGGGATGCTATAATTTTTGCCCGTCGGACAGTTTTAGTTGGGGTTGATAGAGGCAACAATTAGGTCGCAAGAAGTCGTTTGTCAGCTTCAGGATATAACGTCAATAAGCTTCCATTCCCTGTAATCGACTTCAACTACAAATATTTTTATGTTTTCGAGCATGTGTTCTGAATACAAAAAAAATACTTGCACCTCGCTATTTTTCATATTTAATTCAAATTTATGTCAATAATATTCCTACAAAATTATGTGTTTTTGTAACACGGTAGAATGAAAGTGACCTACCTGTACCTGCTTCAAATCCATGTCGGTAATATTCCTAAAAAATTGTGTCTTCGTTTATACGGCAGAAAATGAAAGCATAGTTCGTGATGTCGAAACATTGTTTGTCTTCTTTATAAAATGGTATTTTAAAATTACATCAGTGTAGCATCAACCCCTGTGTGCAATACAGATATGGTATCCATGTTATTGTTATTTGCCCACATGACATGTTTTTTCCCTGTCAAAAAGAAAAATTCTCGTTAGTGATGTAGAAAGCAATGAGAACTCGCGTGAAAGTGCCATTTTAGCCGCAAAGCTGTTTGTTAAACAGACAAAAAATTACTGATGTGTATTAGCTTGGATTGGAGAAAATAAAAGTGGGATATTTTACAGTTTATTTAGCTATATCGGTAGTTTAATTCACAAACTATAATACTAGTAAGGCTAAATAGGTCACTAGCCCGTAAGATATTTTCGGTAACCCAGGGCGTCGAACTAGTGGATTTTTACACATATGTGAAGACCTCCCTAACACCTTTATTTCATATTATTTATGAATAGTCCCAAGACAGACGAAAAGTACTTCAAAATGTTATTAAACCCGTGTTGAAATCAGTTTGTGTCGGCATACCTTTTATCTTTTCATTGTTTACCGTGAAACAAAGTAGTGCAGCTTTACGGTTGTGCTAATATTTCTGGATATATATATGTATAGATGCATAATATAGCAATATATGGGCATATTAAATATCACTAAAGTACCAAGATGTAAGAATAAAGCTTAGTTGTATTATTTTAAATTAATGATGCGTGATTTGCACTTTCTTCTGAAAGTATCAATTTTGTTACTGCTTAATCCACGCTAATATAACTGGGCGGTTTTTGATGAATCTTGATGGTATTTAACACTTTCTACATGGCAATCTATTAACTGAATATGTGTATTAGATTATAGATGGTAAGCTCAGTTTCTTTCCTTTTTTCATCAAATCTGAATGATACCCGGTCCCTAGTGCCAAGGTGGAGAGCTTTTAGTATTCTTGCTCTATCAAAATGGAACGAACTTATGCTCCTTTGATATGAAGTCTCTGGCTATTAGTCTGCATTTGATCTCTTCAAAATATTTATAAGTTGTTTAGCACATAATTGTTTGGATAACTTAGCTACTGGTGGGCGTATGTTTTGTTGCCTGCCAACCTATGTTTCAATGACCGTACTGTCTTACAATTATAGAACCAGAAATTCTGCAGAAGATGATAAAAGGCAAAAACAGTTGGAAAGAGAGAAAAGACGAGAAGCTGCCCGAATAAAACGTGAAGTAAAGAAAAAACGACTGGCAGAAGAAATGGAAACAATAAGTAAGATATTATGTTTAACTTTATCATCCATCAATATTAAAGTTTGTTCTACATCTTAAAAATGGGAGCCACAGTGGCTCAGTGAGTAAGACGTTGATTCGCTAACCTGGAGGTCCTGTGTCCGATCCCTGCGTTGGCAAAGTAAGTTCATCAGGATTTTCTGCATGGTCCTTCTTTGTCAGCTGTGCAGGACAGAAGGCCTGGCAAGGGACAGCATAGTCGTTGTGATGGGACGAAAAAACAAGGTCCCTTGTACACGTTAATGTGCACGTGAAAGATCTCTTGACACTTGGAATTCGATATAAGAGTAGGACATAGCGCAGGTGTCCGAGGAAACTTTAATTCATAGCAAACTGTATGGCGTAGATCCGTCTTCATAAGCCCAGTCAGAGCCGAACAGTAGGGCGTTAAACCCCATTTCATTTCATTTCATTTACATCGTAAAAATAATCAGTTAAATATGGCTTGAAATGAAATGGAGTTTATTGTCTTCCTTTTCTGCACCAATAATGCTAATGAAGATGGGTAAACACTATGTAATGTGCTATTCGGGACATTTTGCCAAGACTTGCTGACTGTGAGCAAGCAGTCGTATATTTTTTCACACTTTTACGACTGACTGGTCAGCCAAAGTTATCATCCAATCTATGTTTATGTTCATGAGATGATTAATTTTTTTCAGAGCTATTGTCCTTGATTTTTTAAAATATTTTTGGTGTAAACAACATTTGTTTGCAATATTTCGGATATGAAAACAAGCACAAACATGCTTTATAGATATTTCTTCTTGTAAGACACCAAATAATTAACCAGGAGGTGTCAGACTCGATCCCAATATTGGTAAAGGAAAGTTTGTTGATATTTTCCAGTGTGGTTTCCCTTTGTCAGTGGAACAGGACGGGTAGGGTCTGGCAAGGAAAAATGTAACATCATTTAGATGGGTAAAAAAACGTGGTTTCTGTATACACATTAGCTTGCACATATACTTGACACATGAATAATCTGCTGTCTGCTCAAACAGCATAAGTTATCATCTGATTACCAGTAAATGTTTTATTTATGTTAGCTCAAGAAAGAACCAGAAAACAATCAAATTTTAATTATTTCTTAAAATCATTTCTTGGGTTGATGCTCATGATTAGTTTTTAGAAGAAAAATGTGATACCCTTCGTGGACTGCTCAGATGATTAGATGCTTTGTGTGTATGTTTCAAGTCATTAAGTCTGTCATTAAATCTAATTGTGTTTATTCTTTGTAGATGGGGAAATGACTAGATCAGAAATAAGGAAATCTTCTGATGAAATCACGGAAATAAATTCTAATTCTTTATTGCTCAATGGCTACAATTCCACTTCATCGCTACAGTTTAAGGATATCCAATTGTATGTGGAGGAAGATAGAGCAGCTGATTGGTCAGATTGGGAAAATCCAGACACCAATGATCTTGAGAAAGATAACCATGGTATCGACTCTGACAGTGATAGTAATTTTTCAGAAAGTGTAATAAGTAATGAAATTGAAAATCAACTAATGAAAATGCCAACGACAATCTCAAAGCCTCAGAAAAGTCTTGAAATTTTAGCCAACAATTCTAAAGTTGACAAAATTAATTCCAAAAATTCAAAATTAAAGAAGTCTCCTCTTCAGTTGAAGAAAAATAAAGGTGATGTGAGTTTTAAACAGTCGGATGTTAAAACTAAAGATTCAGATATTTCATATCTCGAGAAAGACTGGGGCGTTGGTTCATTCCTTGTAGAAACTGCACAAAATGGTAATCATTTGACAAAAACTGACCAATCACAGATTTTGACAGATAGTCGACGCAGCTCAACAAGCAACAGTAGTTCTAACAGTCGCAATCTTCCAAAAACGTCTTTTAATTTAGGAGAAGAGTTCGAAATTAAACCGGTGAAAATCAAAGTCAGTGATAGTTTTGATTTTTTTGCCGACATGGTACCACAAATACAAACCAAAAACAAAGACCCCCTTCTGTTACTGCAGACACTATCAGTAGATGGTCAAGAACAGAAAACAACAGCAGCTTTGAATATATCAACCAAATCCCTTGAACATTGTCCAAAAAGTCTGAAATCTGCAGACGAACCATCTCCTTCTGTTAAAGATAATAAATTCACCATGGTTACTGCTAATAATACAGCTGATCAGGTAATTTGATTAGAATTATTTTGGTTGCCTGTTGCATATGCTAATTCCTAAAGTAAAAGCTATTTATGTTTATATGATCCAGATGGTCCAATCTCATAACAGTATTTTACCTCAAGTGTGTCAAAACACCAACTTGTACCTCGAAAATGTACACTAGCCCAACTTTTAATCTTTTTAAGAAGAATGTTGAAACATAACTTTCTATCAGGACTTTTAATGAACAAAAATTTACTTTATTATTTGTTTTAAAAAAGGTCGATTTAATTCTACTTATAGTGGTTTAAAACATAGTTTATTGTACTAGAACATAAATACATGTACAGTACAAACGGATTGGGACATAAGTTACAAAAACTTACCTATGTCCACTCCACATACATTGTAATTTACAGTTATAGTAGTACAATTTTAAGAACAAAAAAAAAAAGAACGATATAAATGTTATAATAAATAATTAAAAATCACATTATAGAGAAATTCTTAAATATTTGATTTAATTTTTTACATTCCCAAAGAATCTTTGAATTTCAATAAGAGTATACCCTTATGAATAAAGTTGCAAGGGGAAAATCTCACAATGTAATACAATTATGTACACAAACAGGAACAACAAAAAAAAAAAAACGTTTTACAGTTGTGCAAAAAGAAAAAAGGAACTACACTACAAATACTTATCCATTGAACCTTTTAGTTGATTTAATATATTTAAGGTTATTATGCTAATGCTCCGTAAAGAATCAAAAAAGTTAATTTCTTTCAATATTAAACAAATTACATTCCATAAAATAGTGCTGTGTCTGTGTGTTTTCGGATGACGAGTCACAAGAACATTTAGGATTTTCAATTAAGTTTATCTGAAACAGATCTGAGTTGAGGAAACTGCAACCATGGCGAAGTTTTAAGTGTAAAATAATCAATTTTCTATTACCACTCGCATAATAATTCAAAGCTTTTATTATCTTGAATCTCTCAGACCATTTTCATGTGGACATATATTGTCATCGCCCATGTCCGTCCACAATTATTTGTGGGCACTCTACAGGTCACAATTTTTATCCGATTTCAACGAAACTTGAAATATAGGTTTATCTCACTACGATCTTGGTTGAGATCGAATTTCGTGAAAATCGGACCAAAACTGCTGGACAAAATGGCCTCCCCTCCTACGCAAACAGTGTAAAAATATGGTATATCAAGGTTGTTGACCTAGAGCTCATAATTTTGATGAAACTTGAAATGCATGTTTATAACCCAAAGATCTTGGTTCCTTTCGATATTCGTGCATATCGGATCATAACTTCCTGAATTATGTCCCCTGATTGTAAGAAAAACCGCGTTTTAGCTTGTGGTCCCTCTAGAGGTCACAATTATTATCTGATTAAAAAACTGTTTGAATATGTCACCGTTACACCGTAATATTGTTTGAGTCCGAATTTTGTGAAAATAGGACGAAAACTGCCAGAAAAAATTGCCGCCCCTCTACGCAAATAGTGTAAACATCTGGTATATCAAGGTTGTTGATCCTCTAGAGGTCACAATTTTGATCCGATTTTGATGAAACTTGAAATGCATGTTTATAACCCAAAGATCTTGGTTGCTTTCGATATTTGCGCATATCGGATCGTAACTTCCTGAATTATGGCCCCTGATTGTACGAAAATCGTGTTTACCTTGTGGTCCCTCTAGAGGTCACAATTATTATCTAATTTACAAAAATTTTTGAATATATCACCGTTAAACCATAATGTTGGTTGAGTTTGAATTTCGTGAAAATCAGACCAAAACTGTCAGACAAAATGGCTGACCCTCCTACGCAAATAGTGTAAACATCTGGTATATCAAGGTTGTGAACCCTCTAGAGGTCACAATTTTGATCCAGTTTGATGAAACTTGAGATACATGTTTATTACCCATAGATCTTGGTTCCTTTTGATATTTGCCCATATCGGATCATAACTTCCTGAATTATGACCCTTAATTGTACGAAAAATTGCTTTTTGTTTAGCTTGTTCTCTATCCATCTCTTGCAAAATGTGGGCATATGCTGCCTAGCAGCCGCTGGTTTTTAAACTTTTTGATATTTTCTATTTTCTTTGTTGATGAAACCAATAAGTTCCAATCCCGAATTGTTGACGGAAAGAACAAAATTTTATATAATAATATTTTTACAGTAGTTTGGGGAAATATGATCACTATTTCTTAAGTTGTATATATGTGTGTTGCTTCCAAAGGCATGAATAATATCTAGTAAGTATTGAGGTGTGTTATTGTTTACAATTTTGTGCAGGAGGGTGGTAAGGTGTCTTATAACCGGCGTTTAGAAAGCTTGTTCCAATCAGATTCATGCACTACTTGACTACAGAATTTTGGAAGTCCGATGACTATTCTCGCGGACTCTAATTGAATTTTTTTGAGTTTTTCTGCGTTGGTTGACGAACAGCTATCCCAGACATCACAAGCATATTCAAGAATAGAACGTATTTGTATTTTATACATTTTATCAAGCGAGCTCCTGGTTGTAGTACCAGTATATTTTAGCTTTCTTAATATATTTAGTTGTTTAGAGGCTGACCTGCACAAAGTGTGAATGTGTTGCTGGAGAGATCGGAATTTGTTTGTTAGAGAAAATTACGACCTTAATTGACCAAACTTTTGACCACTCAGAGAGTTAGTTTAAGTCTAAATTTAATGAATTTTTGAGGTTCGGTAAGTTAATTTTGTTGCACACAATTACCGTGTCATCAGCAAATAGTCTAGCAGTATTATCTAAAACATCCTGGATTTCATTTATGTAAACAAGAAAGAGGAAGGGGTCTAGTACAGATCCCTGGGGTACCCCAGATGCCAAAGTTGCATAACCTGAAAAGAAACCGGTGAGATAATTTTTCAGCCAACCTATCATTTTATCACTTACACCATAGCTAGATAGTTTGTGGAGTAATCCTAAATGATTAACCCGGTCGAATGCTTTGGAGATGTCACAATAGATGTGACATGGGTCCTATCCTTTGCTTACAGAAGATAGCATGTCCTGATAAATTACTTTATTGTAACTGATGCACAGTGGAATGTTTGGGCTCTGAAGCCTGACTGAAGACAATAGATTTAGGCCTAGTATCAACTAACAAACGTTGCATATAAATTCTTCGTTTAAGTAAACGACTGATAGACTTAGTCCAATCTGAGAGAGTATCAGAAATAACATCTTTCCTCTTGGCCCATGATCTGGCGTTGTCCTCTACGACATCCATAATAAGTTTGAAATTTTGATCCCATGAAATTTTTTGCGGTTCCCGGTATTTGGGTCCTTTAGACAAAATCTCACGTAACTTATTATTCTGGACTATGTTTAAATCACCAGTGACTACATGTCCAGCTGGTTGGTAAATGAAAGACGACGTAGAGCAAGAACAGGGTAGAGGGTTATCATATAATTCTTTTGCATTCATGTTGTCTTTGTTCAACATTTTTTAACAAAAAACGTAATTTAACCATGTCGGGAAGGTTAAAGACTCTCAAAGTGGTTGAAATGCTTATGAATGATTCTGAAGACGATATTTCTGATGAAAATGATTTAGAATGATTTGCATAGGAGGGCCTGATAAGGACAGCTGTCTAGTCGTTCGGATGGGACAAAAAACCGAGGTCCCGTGTATACATTGGTGTGCACGTAAAAGATCCTTGACAGTTGGAATTCGATATAAGGATATAAGAGTAGGCCGTAGTGCCGCTGTCCGGGCAAAATTTCCCTCATAGCAATTTACATTTTCATTTACATTACATTTTATACGCCCACATTGAAATGTGGTCGTATATTGTCGTCACCCCCGTCCGTCTGTCCATCGGTCCGGCGTCCACAATTGCTTGTGGACGCTCTAGAGGCCAAAGTTAATATCTGATTGACTTTAAATTTATACACAGTGTTTAAGGTCTTGAGACGAAGAAGCCTATTGATTTTCAACAATTTCCAATAATTACTGCCAGAGTTATTTCCCTTGATCACTTCAAAAAATCTTGTGGACGCTCTAAAGGCCAAAGTTAATATCCGATTGACTTTAAATTTATACACAGTGTTTTAGGTCATGAGACGAAAAATCCTATTGATTTTCAACGATTTCCAATAATTACTGCCAGAGTTATTTCCCTTGATCACTTCAAAAAATCTTGTGGACGCTCTAAAGGCCAAAGTTAATATCCGATTGACTTTAGATTTATACACAGTGTTTAAGGTCATGAGACAAAGAATCCTATTGATTTTCAATGATTTCCGATGATTACTGCCAAAGTTATGGCCCTTGATCACTTTGTGACGCTCTAAAGGCTAAAGTTATCATCGGATTGACTTCAGATTGATACACAGAGTTTAAGATCTTGAGACAAACAAGTATATTGATTTTCAATGAATTTTTATGTCTTGAACAGCTAAATCCATGATATTAAAAGTTTTGTATACAAAATGTTAGCATGGGGCAGAACTTTATAAAAACAAACAAATTCTAATGGTTTTCTGATAATTACTTCATGAGTTGTTGCTCTTAATCAGATTTTAGTGTATTATAAATGTCTCATTACCGAAAAAAGTAAAGATATGCAACAACTCTTGTTGACTGCCCGGACGATTTAGCTGTTAGCTGTTGTGGGCGTATGTTTCGTTGCCTGCCAACCTATCTTTTAGTTATTTCCCGATATTTTCATTTCATTTTCTCATCTGTCCCGTTTTTCAACATCTAGATCTGTATTTTAATCAATTCGATTACAGCAATACAAGTATCAGTTATTTCCCTTTATTCTCCAGATGTTTTTGCTCAGGTGCACTGTTACTCAATATGTATACATTGTACCTATATAACTTCGAGTTTTGATTGATTTTAATAAATTTTCCTTAATGAGATTCTTTATATAACCCATGACATGTGACAGAAACTGACCGTGAATATGAAAGCTTTCATATCTGCCTAGCAGATCTAGTTGTTTTTGTTTTTATTTCACTGTCATCCTTAAATTACAAAAGTTTATAACTATATAAATATGTTGAATATTTACCACATTTTGTTATCCTACATGTATACACGTCCTATTGATAATTTGTTGCTAAATTGAGCTACACAGGGTGTTTAACAAACATTTTTGAGTAGCGGTTTTCCCTGCGTCTTACTGGCTGCCATCTTGTAGTTGTACATGATGTACATGATATAGTGGTACTTTGTTACAAGTCCTTAAAATAAAACATAATATCATTACTAAATATAAATTAACTACATATTCAAGAACCTGGCAAACCTCTGTATATAAGAGAACCTGACAAAGACTGTTATACCATATGGCTGTTATATATACCATAAAGATACTAATTTGTTGAGTTACTGTTATATTGTTTGTATTTTAGGGTGATGGAGGAGATGGCTGGGGAAATGAAGATATCGATTGGGGTAATGAAGATTTCTGAATAATCCAACAATCTCTGTGATATAAAGGAAGAAGAAAATAGTTCTTGGGGTCAGTAGAATAGGAGCTGATAAATTATAATAACTCACAGTTTAGTGCTTTTAAGAAATTCTTGTAACTCACAATTTAGTTGTACTTTTAAAGTAGCTAAGTCTCTAACTCAATATCATCCAAGTCTTACACGTTGAAAACAATTATTTGTCAATTCAAATCAACATTGATGTTTTTATCTTACCGGGAAAAGGTAGGCTTCTGATATCCAATAAGACAAAATATACATTTTACCATTGGTACACGAATCGTGTACCATAGTGCGTTTCATCGTCATTTGTAAAAAGTGACCAGAAAGAGTGAGGCTAAACATATTCCACAACTCATGTCAAACGGTGACGCCATAACTTATCTGGAGAGCATGCGCAATTGACTGGAATAACCAGACGCTAGAAATTTCTATTCGGTCGAGACTCATGCCGTATTTCGCTGGACCTAACTGATTTGATATTAGAGTCAAAACGGAAACAATTGAATGCAAATCAGTTCATATACAATCAGATTACATTATTATATGCGTTGCAACCCATTTGCGTCAATTTCTAGGTCCTACATATTAGCGATTTAGCTCCTTTAAACTTAAAACTTTATTCTGAGCGACGTTATCGCTGTTTGTGAAGTTTTGACTTAGATTGTTTATTATCGCAGCAATGTTACTTGTTATTCAAGATTATTAAATGGCAGTCGTTTTTTAATCTGTTTACATCTGCGCCATCCGATGATCTAGAGAGTTGATTATAGGTGCGCCATGTGAATAAATGTCTAAATGATAATTTATATATCATTTTAGGCCAAAGTAAAACACTGTAATAGGCAAATTTAGCTCTTACATAGTGTCATCTATTTTGTGATTGAGGCTCACTGTTGGCTTGTTTCATAAATAATATAATATAAGGGAGATAATTAAGTTTCCTATTTATTTAATTATGTGTGATATCGGCTTGCTGATGAGTTGATGTGTACATGTATAGGTTCACTCCCATTTCGACTACACCACATTTCGACTACAAATATTATTACCCTCAAAATCCTGACCCCCAACTAATCAGCATTGAACTGTTCCACTGATTAAGAGATGTAATTAATCTAATGATTATTATTAAAATAGCTTATTCATTATATATTATAGCTTGTTTTCTTTAACATCAAAGAAAAAATATCAACTTTAGAGTACATTTTTGTTTTGATAAATATTTATAATATTTGGAGATTACATAGAGTTTAATACTTGCTTATCTATATAAGATGAATTGTTTACGATATTGTCTACGATATCACCTATGGTGGAATTAGACGTAAAACTCTAGAACGAACGAAACAAATTTTGTACATTTATTCTTCAAGTTCACTATCATTCAGTCAATTTTTTTTTTATCTTATTAGAATTCCTTTATAACAAATATTGTTTTATGGAAGAATCTATTTTAGCTATAGAGAGGGTATATAAGTAGGGATACTAAACCAACCAGACCATATAATCTGTTGTTATAAGCTATAGTTGAAATGGGACTTGTTTTGTTTATTATAAAAATATGATTGAGTTTAATGACAGGAATGAACAAACAGTGTATGTTGTTAGATTTAATAATAAAGGAATATTGTTATTATAAATGTTTATTTTGAGTAAAACAATCCTTATTATATTTAAGCATAAACAATGTTTTTTTCTATTATATCTAAACATAAACAATGTTTGTATATGTCCATATAAACAATGTTTGTTTTTTTGTGTATTTATGAACTATGTTTGTTATTATATACAATGTTTGTTATTGTGTATATTTGTAAACAATGTTTATTATTATGTGTAGTTATAAACGCAGTTTATCATGTTGGTTAATTATGCTTGTGGGTGTATAATACTGCTTATCGGTATATAATATCATAATGAAATCAAATTTCAATGGGAATATTTGAGATTTGTATGTGATATTAGCAATTGGGGTGTTATTGAATATAAATGATGTTATTGTGAGACCCCGTTTATCAGTGTTTGAACCACGCTGAAAATAAAGTGTTTTCACCATGTACATATAAACTACTTAATTGTGGTAATTAAAAACTTCACCATGTTTACAATCACCTGCTTTAAAATAAAATCCATTGCCCAAATAAGAATGGGGGGAGTGGGACGTGGGAAAGTTTAACAAATTTTTTTGATAAACACATATGACAATAAAAACAAACCAGTGAAGGGACTTATATTGAATCAATTAATCACCACTAAATTTTATTCACCAAATGTACATATCACTTGAAAGAAAACTGCTAATCTTTAAAACTAATATTACTAAATAAAGTGCATGACAGAAGGAAGTTACAGAGTATATTTGAAGTTCTTTTGTGCCAAAGATGCCAGTATTGTAACATTTATGAGTGGGTTTATGCAGTACTGGCAAGAAAACTAAATAAAAATATGTTAAAATTGTAAGCATCATTATATTCTAAAAGTAAGACATATAGGTTGAATTTAGCCATAAAATTATTTCAAAAGGTAAAGCAAGAAATTTGCTAGCGATCTTACTGGGCGAAGTATAAAATGGAAACAAAATAAAAGATAACCAGCATATTTATTTGTGTGAATGTTCAAACTCAAAACAGAGAGAGAGAGATGAGGTTTAACTCCAATCGACATAAACTAGGTCATTCCGGGAGTAACATATGGTTCAATTTTAATTCAATATTTTGCGTAGGGGTCTTTAGCAGTTGGAGGACCCGGAGAAAACCCACGAAGTTGGACAGGTGACCATACTCCTTGTCACGTACAGATCTTATGATACAACGCGCACGTGGTAACTATTCGGCCATCCAACCACCCAATTCAAAACAGAGATTAGACACCTAACTTTCTCATAAACTAAACTTGACTTGTTTTCATAGTGTGGCTAACTAATTTGATAGGATACAGCATATTTTTGTTTATTATTTTGTGAAACACTATTGTTTTTGTTCGGATTATTCTTCTTATTATTATTATTAATTTTTTATACGCCCACATTTTCATATGGACGTATTATGCCGTCGCCCCTGTATCGACGCCCCCGTAACTTCATGGATTAAGTCCCCTGATTGTACAAAAAATCGCATTTTTAGCTTGTGGACCTTATAGAGGTCACAATTTTTATCTGATTTTGTTGAAACTTGAAATGTAAGTTTATAACCCAAAGATCTCAGTTCCTTTCGATATTCGCGCATATCGGACCGTAACTTATTGAATTATGGCCCCTGATTGTACGAAAAATTGCGTTTTTAGCTTGTGGACCCTATAATGGTCATGATTTTTATCCGATTTAAAAAAAAATTTGAATATATCACCGTTACACCCTAAGGATGGTTGAGTTCAAATTTGGTAAAAATCGGCCCCAAACTGACAGACAAAATGGCCGCCCCTCGTAGTCAAATAGCGTAAAAATATGGTATATCAATGTTGTGGACCTAGAGGTCACAATTTTCTTCTGATTTTGATGAAACTTGAAATGTAAGTTTATAACCCAAAGATCTTGATTCCTTTCGATATTCGTGCATGTCAGATTGTAACTTCCTGAATTATGACCCCTGATTGTACGAAAAATCGCGTTTTGTGCTTGAGGACCCTCTAGATGTCACAATTATTATCCGATTTAAAAAAAACGTTTAAATATATCACTGTTACAGCGTAATGTTCATTGAATTCAAATTTCGTGAAAATCTGGCCAAAACTGCCGGACAAAATGGCCGCCCCTCGTACGCAAATAGTGTATTAACATCTGGTATATCAAGGTTGTGGACCCTGTAGAGGTCACAATTTTGATCCGATTTTGATAAAACTTGAAATACATGTTTATAACCAAAATATCTTGGTTGCTGTCGATATTTGTGCATACTCAATCGTAACTTCCTGAATTATGGCCCCTGGTTGTACGAAAAATCGCGTTTTTAGCTTGTGGTCCCTCTAGATGTCACAATTATTATCCGATTTAAAAAAACGTTCGAATATATCACTGTTACAGCGTAATGTTTCTGGAATTCAAATTTCGTGAAAATCTGGCCAAAACTGCCGGACAAAATGGCCGCCCCTCGTACGCAAATAGTGTATTAACATCTGGTATATCAAGGTTGTGGACCCTGTAGAGGTCACAATTTTGATCCAATTTTGATGAAACTTGAAATACATGTTTATAACCCAAATATCTTGGTTGCTGTCGATATTTGTGCATACTGAATCGTAACTTCCTGAATTATGGCCCCTGGTTGTACGAAAAATCGCGTTTTTAGCTTGTGGTCCCTCTAGATGTCACAATTATTATCCGATTGAAAAAAACGTTCGAATATATCACCTTTTAACTGTGATGTTTGTAGAGCCTGACTTTCGTGAAAATTGGGCCAAAACTGCTGCCCCTCGTACGCAAATAGTGTATAGGATCGGGTATATCAAGGTTGTGGACCCTCTAGAGGTCACAATTTTGATCCGATTTTGATGAAAGTTGAAATACATGTTTATAACCTAAAGATCTTGGTGCCTTTCGATATTCGTGTGTATCGGATTGTATCTTCCTGAATTATGGCCCTTGAATGTAGAAAAAATCTTGTTTTTAGCTTGCGGTCCATGTAGAGGTCACAATTTTTATCTGATTTTTAAAAAAAACTTGTGAATATATCACCATTACAGACTAAGATCGTGGTTCCTTTTGATAATCGCATATTTCCAAACGTAACTTCCTGGATTATGACTCCTGATTGTTCGAAAAATCGCATTTCCGATTTTAAAAATCATTTAAATATATCACCATTCCACCATAATGAAGGTTGAATTCGAATTTCGGGAAAATCGAAATGAAACTGCCAGACAAAATGGCCGCTCTTTGTACGCAAATTGTGTAAAAGTATGCTACGAAGGTTGTGGATCCTCTAGAGGTCACAATTTTTATCCAGTTTTTGATGAAACTTAAAACATATCTTTATATCGCATAGATCTCAGTCCCTTTTGATATTTGCGCATTTCGGACCATAACTTTCTTGATTATTGCCCCTGATTGTACAAAAAATCCTGTTTGTTTTAAGCTTGTTCTCTATCCATCTCTTGCAAAATGTGGGCGTATCCTGCCTGGCAGCCGCTGGTTTTCCACTTGAGCATATCTCAGAAACTACTTGTTGGATCGATTCGATGTCTTTGGTTTTCCTGGGAAAGTGGGTGTGACTTGAAGATTAAAGCTGTTTCGAACGTTCTGCTACAATGCAAAAGTTGTTGTTTTTTTTAAATATTGCCGTAATATTAACAATAATCGTTGGATTTTATCATTTGATACATTTTGACATAGCCAGAGACAAGGCAGATAGCTACGGTTCTTTAGATGTTTGATTTTAGGCGCCAAATTTTGACAAAAAGCTTTTTCATTAATGAAAATTTTTTACCAAGGGTTAAAGGGTCGTCTGATTTGAGCAAAAATGCGAAAAAAATTTGTCTCGATAATTTTTCTTGGTCGCTATTGGCTAATTCAGTTTTTTGTCCCCCGTCTGTCTATCCGTCCGTCACACTTTTTGGGACACAATAACTCTCTTTCTAATTGCTTAGGGTAAGCAGAGATAAGCAATTTGATTGGTTGATGCTTTGGGAAACGATAACTTTAGTTCTAATTAAGTGAGAGTGATGAAACTTGGTGTATAGTTTCATTGCATCATTACCTTGACAAAGTTCGATAATGAGCATATTCTGCTCAGGGTAAGCAGAGCGATAAGCAATTTGATTGAGCTAGAATGTTCAAACTTGGTGTAGGCATTCATTAGGTGAATGCCTCATGGAGTTCGATGATAAACATTGTCTGCTTACGATAAGCAGAGATATGAAATCGGATTGGTTGATGCTTTGGGGCACGATAACTTTAGTTTTAATTAAGTGAGAGTGATGAAACGCCGAATATAGATTCATAATATCATTACCTTGACTAAGTTTGATGATGAGAATTTTCTGCTTAGACTAAGGAGCGATAAGCAATTTGATTGGTCAAGACTTTGGAACATCACAACTCTGCTTTTAATTGAGCTAGAGTGTTCAAACTTGGTGTAGTTGTTCATTAGGTGAATGCCTTGATGGAGTTTGATGATAAACATTGTCTGCCTACGGAAAGCAGAGATAAGCAATCTGATTGGTTGATGTTTTAGGGTCAATAACTTTGGTTTTAATTAAGTGAGAGTGATGAAACTCTGAGTATAGATTCATTATATAATTACCTTGACTAAGTTTGATGATGAGAATTTTCTGCTTAGGCTAAGGATTGATAAGCAATTTGATTGGTCAAGACTTTGCTTTTAATTGAGGTAGAATGTTTAAACTTGATGTTGATGTTCATTAGGTAAATGTCTTGACTGAGTTCAATGATTAATATTTCGAGCTAAAGCTAAACAGAGCTAAGCAATTTTATTGGTCGATGCTTTGGGGCCAGTTAACTTTGATTCTATCTGATAGAGAGTGATGAAACTTGGTGTATAGTTAATAATCGGTTTGATTGCTTGATACTTTTGAAAATAATTAATGTGCAATTAATTAATATGTGTCATCTATTTATTTTGGGATTTCGGCAGGGGATATCAGCCTCACTGTTGGCTTGTCGGTTCTAGTTTTAATTCTTTAT